CCCCAAAACCCCAAAACCCCAAAACCCCAAAACCCCGGGGAGTTTAGAAGAAATTGAGGTGTTTTTAGGTGTATTTTTGGGATTGAAGGTGGGAGGTTGGGTGTAGAGAGGGTTTTGGTTAAGAAAATCCGTATTTGTGGAGGATTTCGAGGGTGGACTCTTCACCGATTTTATAGTTATCAGTCTTGAATTTGACTAAGTTCTTAGTAAATTCTTTTTGGTTGGCTAAGCCAGCCACAAAGTTTTCAAAATTGACATAATTAGAGTAGGAGTGGTTTCTATTTAAGATACCTTTTATGGAGATCCCAAATCTCTCGATCTGGCTAGATGGCAGCCATCCGCTTGGAGGGACACTTGGAAGTACTATCTCTCAATTGCAGAAATTAATGAACTTCTTATTTCTGTTAGCAAATAAAAATCTGCGAATTTGTCTTTCATTCAATATGAAATTTGAAAGCACAATTCTCTGAGTCGTCTTGTTGCTGATCTCAAGGATCTGGTTAAAATAAGGGGTTATCTTAATCACAGAGGGTGAATTTGCGTTCAGGTATACTCTTTTCATTCTACTTGGAATTGATAAACCCAACGATTTCTTTAGTTGCAAAGAGTTTTTAGGAAACCTGGAAATGCATGCATCATCTTGCTTTGGCAATCCTAACGGCTTCAATAACCTCATAAACTCCAAGCCATTCCTCTCTCCAAGGGTGACCTCAAAGAAGTTATGTTTTGGTTTATTTATCATATTTCTCTAAAAATTACTCCACTAAGGCAGTACCGATAGTCCTAACGTAACTATTAGTATACGCTTTGGCTACCAACTTCTCTTCTTCTTCTCTAAGCCTGCTTTGTCTCCAGTAGTTCTTATGGACAGTACCTTGTGAGCCTAGATAGACTGGTCAGAGTTGGGTTAAAAGAAGGATTTAGGGAGATTATAAGGAATTTTTGTTGGGAATAGAGACAGAAAGTCTCATAACCATGCGAGGGGTTGTGCCTAGAGGGTGGTGAGTAGCCAGAAGGTGGTTAGAGAGGGATACTTGCCTTTATAGTTAGATTTTTTAGCTTTTGGCATTTCTTGTGCAAGCTCACTTGACTTGGGCTGACTCTCTAGATTATTCAATACTTTCTCCATATTGATTTATATTTCAATCCTGACTTTCTTAAATGGGGTTTTGGGGTTTTGGGGTTTTGGGGTTTTGGGG